TATTTTTATTCATAGTAAAAACATACTTGGTCGGTTGCTTATTCGCCAGAAATTAATGCCGTTTGTCGATTTTCACACATAATACCATAATAATTAAAATTATTGTATTACATTTTTTTTTTATGTCTTTTCGATTTACTAAATGTTTATTGTTACGATTCTTGTCATATTTAGATAGGCAGTCGATTTGCCTATTGTTCGTGGTTCAGCGGACTCGATGGATATCACCAACACATCCGGTTAAGACACGTATTACGAAGTATAAGACGTAATACACGTTTCTCTCCTTACCGGAATAATAATGTACGTTTCAATTTTACACACCGAACTGCTGAATAGAATTTTTTTTTATTATTTACATAGGACGAAAGCTAAGGATGAAAAAAGAAGTGATAAAATTCTACATACAACGATATTTGATTCTTCATTAAACAAAACAATTTATTATTTAATTAGTTTACGAGTGTATGTGTGTGTATGGACACGTCAGGCCGCTCATATTGGTCGTCGTTAAAATATTTAGCATTAAAATACAACGTTTGCATGTGTGTGTGTGTGTGTGTCTTGTTCTGACACGCAATAAAAATAATTACCATACTACGATAATGATAATGATAATAATAATAATAACGATAAATGTAGCAGACTCCGCCCTCCGTACGCTGCCGTTTCACGATTCATGGGTGAAACGACCTGGTGAAAAATGGCAATATGGCACGGCGCGACAACTGCAGCGTTGTCAGACCGTGCGTGATGTTTATAAACAACACTTGCACGCACACACACGCGCGCGCGATGCTGTGAATATTACCGTTCGGCGGCGGTTGTTGTGTTTACGTTTCTCCCACCGACACCGCCGGTGGTGTTGGTCGGCTGACGAAATAACCTTGGCCCCATACGTGTACCCGACGTTTTGCCCGCAACGCGCAGACCTGTCGTGACGTGACGCGGCGCGGAGCACAATATTATTATTATCGTTGGCGGCGATATTATTATTATTATTATTATAAATATTATTGTTATTATTATTGGTGTGCATAATATTATAATAACCGTCTCCGCCGTTGCAGCCGTCAAAAAGAACGTAAACATTTCGTACGCGCCGGCCTGAAGCACTGCACAGTCTGAGGTTTTACGTTCTAGTCCCCCGACTGCGGTTCGTTCGAAAGCGCGTTTGCGAAGTGGTGGAAACCCGGACGGGAAAAATATTCCAAAATCGCCGTACGGGAAATCCTGTTGTTTCGCAGCGACGTTCAGAGACGTTTTTTGCAGGTAACAGAAAATTCCGGCACAACTGGAACACCCGCGTGACGGTTTCGTCCCGGCGGCGGACGTTCGCACACACCGGCTCACCCGTTTCGACGAACATTACTTACGTGTACGGTAATACGTACACAATAGCGATAATAGTATTATTGTAACGACACTGTTTTGTCTGCTACGCGCGTATATTGGCACCAAAACAATAACACGACCGGAGTCGCTGTCCGTCCGCGGTGCGTTCGATTGCGCGTGCGCGCGTCGTTTTCGAGTGTGTGTCCGTGTCCGTGTGCTTTGCGGGCGTTTGCGTATACGGTATTACCCCCACCACTGTTGTCCGGTCGCGGCCGATCCATTTCGAGAGAGACACACACGCAAACAGTACACAAGACCGACACATATACATGCACCGACTGTTGCCGGTACACTCTTGTGTTCTTGTTCCGTCACGTTAAACGTTTTTACAACAACATACCAAATTAATACCATATAATACAATACGCACGGTCGAACGTTCAACACCCTCCGGTTCGTTAACTGTTTTTGGTCTTTTCCGTTCCGACGACTACCATCGACGGAGCGATAATACATTTTTTTTCTCGCCCAGCCGTGTTCAGCGCCCCGCTATCGGAATACCGATCACGAAGAACTACTGCGGCATTGTCAGGACCAGATCTGAAACCGCCCACTTCGTTGTTTCCCTAATAAGAGGAAAGAAAACCGAAGATCTATTGTATTCCTATGTGGTGACTGGTACCGCAAACGCTTCCAAATGTGTGATACTATGCTTAGCAGGGACATGATGACGTCTGCCGCAGCCAGTGCTAAAGCTGAGGAGACCAAGTTATTGTCGCTAGACGTCGAGCATCTGGTGTCCGAGATCAAAGAGAACCTGAGGCTGTCCGGATTCAAGTCCAGGCGTCACCGTACCCATTTTGCTCGCTCAAAGCCATATGTGAAGCCGACAATGTGCGAGTCGTGTAATGATAAGAGACCATGTCGATGCGACGATGACGATACCCAGGAGGCCAATAATGACCCCTACCAAATGTTGCAAGCTTTGTTGCAAGAAGGCAGTCTCATCAAAGAAGCCGTCCGCCGACTGCAGATTGGCTTATCCCCCAAACAAAGGTATTATTATGAATCTGACGAAGAGTCTTCCAGGAGTCCTAAGTTTAGATTATGCTGAAACCTTTACTGTTATCGCATTCTTTCAATATATTTTGTTCCTTATTGTAAAGTTGTTATTATAGTGTATATAAGTTCAGTATTTATTGTTTACACATTTATCATTAAAAAAAGTACCTAATAACTAACAACAATTATTTATACACTACATTTTAAATCAAATTTTTACAAATATTTCACATTGTTTTTCTAAAAAACTTAAAGTAATTGGTGGTACCTATGTATCTAGTCAATAATCCTCTGTTTAACTTACCAATTTATGTAACAAAATCTATTTAATATTCTTATAGATAATTATGAATGGTTTCCAAAATAATATACAATTCAAAATCAGTGTAATTTCATTGCCAAATAACATTTATTTAAATATTTAGTTTATTAGGCAACGAATAAAACTTCACATATTTATTTATCAATCAGTGATATGTTTTAGATAACATAACTTAATAATTATTATTGCATCACATATTATAATAGTCTCATAATATTTTAAATTAATTTTTTTCTAATCTGATAAAAAATTGTGACTTTTCTATATATATTTACTGTTTGATATTGTAATATTAAACAATTTTTTGTTATTATTTTCTTAAATTTTAAGTTGGAAAACAACTTTAAATCCGCTCAATGTCTTTCTGAATTTTGATAGTTATGCCAAGTTGGCCATAGTGTTTTAAAGTTACCGTAATTGTACAATTTAAAATGTGTAAATAAAATTCAATAACTGAAAATTTATGTTGAATAGTTACATCAATAAACAATAATATTTTTATTATAATGTATTCATTGCATATATATGCCTGTGTGTACATTTTGAATTGTATTTTTATTTAATCAATTTATGTTATGGACTGTTTTTGTTATTTAGTCAGCATTCAGCTAATATTATATTTAAAACCTATAAAATATGCATGTTAAAATTGTTCTTAAATTATGTAATGTACATTTTTATTTTATCAAAATTGTAATTAGATAAATTGTTATTAAAACCTATTCTCCATCTATAGATATACTATAAACACATATAGTGTATGTATAAATTAAGTGAATGGACCAGTACCATTTACTTAAACTCATGATTTACAGTAAGTGAAAGTATCATTATTTTCTTTATTCATACTACAATATTTTATGTCTGCTTGGAAATATTTAAAATAATGTGATTTTTTATCAATAATCTTAATCGTTAAAATAATTATTAGGTACTTATCTATTTACCTTTTAGAATACCAAATTCACTTATTTGTGTATATTAATTATGAGGTAATTTATTTATAAATAAATATTATAGGTAATATAGAAGAAAAAAAAATTATAATGACTGTGTATAAAACCTTGTATAGTATAATAATTTTATTAAATGGTGATTTAAAATAGGTTCTATTGTATAAATTTAGTTATGAATGGAGACTGTGTTTTTTGTTGTTTTAACTATTGTATTTATAGATTTAACAATATAAGGGAAAATGTATTACTATCTTTCTGTTTTTATTTTTTAATGTGTATGTATATATATAATTAAGTACCTATTCCTAAATGTTTGCAGCAATTATTTTGACATTATATTACTTATCATAGAAATTATGATAATACAAGAATGTTGAATAAGTATTAAGATTTTTAACTAAAACAAAATTGCATCCCATGCTATTATTAATTCTAGTTAAATATTGTCAAATGAAAATTATTTTTTCATTTTCTAATAATAACAATAAATGCAAATGTTTTGTGATTGATGTCATTGAATACAGAAGAAAATAGATAAAATAAATAACATCAAAAAATGATTTGGAATCTTTATCATTCAATACAAGTTATATATGATGATAAAATATTTTATCTGATCGCCTTAAATATAAAATATCGCTAGTTAAAAATTATTTCTATAATAGTGAATTGGGTATTAAGATCAAAGTTCAGTAAATTAGAAAAATATACATTTATATTATATTCATAATAAGGGATATTCTTTTCTATATAATATTTTATTTTTTTATTTGAATATAATCCGAGGCTTCTATGGCCATTGGACGTTACAATACTTATAGACTTAATGTATCTACAGATAAAATAGAAATAAATACAAAGATAAATATTTAAATAAGATATTTTATTATTATAATATAAAGTAACAATAGCGAAATTCATTGTTTATTTAAAATAAATCTAATGAAATTGATGCCTAAGTTTTCAATTACTTTTGACTTTTTGTATTAAATATTATAGACCGTTCGTAAAGTGCTAACAAATTTACGTATTACGTAATTCATAGATTTGTAAACATACAATTTTTTGTTTTTTGATTATTTGTTCCTTTACTTTTTTGCATAATTTCAATAAATTTTAATTCAAAACTCGACTAACAATGGAATATATTTTGAATATATTGACGACCGACCAAGAAAGAAAAAAATAGGCAAATTGCCTGAATAACAATTGGCCAGTTTCTCTAGTATCAATGTTCACTGTCCGGTGATTTTCTTATCATATGTTATCAGTATAGCAGTGCATTCTCATTAGCTGCAATTTCTTATCTTCAGTTATTATCATTATGTAAATACTTAAATATAACTCTATTTTGTTATTTCTCTGAATATCTTGTGTAAAATACTGAATTGTAATTAGAATTTTACTCTTAGTGATTAAAAACAGCTTAACGAGTTCAATTAATTAAGCTTATCTTAAGTAATAAAAAAAAAACTATTAGAATGACTTGTATAAGGTAAAATTTGTCCTTATTATTATACATATTATAATTTTTTTATTTTATAATATTATTTTTTTAGTTTTATTATGTAACACTTAAACTCTTGTTTGAATTCATGTATTTAATAATTATTTTTGTTATAATATTAGACAAGATGGTAAATTTAGTTTGGGAGAACATACACTATCAGTGCCTATGGAATTGTATAAACTTAATCAAGAAAGGCTTTGTAAAAGGCTACAAGAATTAGTAGTCGATAATGCTTATGTACTGTTGCAAGGTGGATCAAATACATCCCATTATTGTACTGATGTAGATTATGTTTTTAGACAGGTATATTTATTTTGACAAGTATATGTTCTAGTATTTTAATTTCATTACTAAACATTTTTTACATTGAAGTTTATATTAGTACTTTAATATTACCTACCCATAAAATACATAATAATAATTTTTACCACATTTTCTGTACTTTTTAAAACAAAAAATGTAATTGTTATCATATATTTTATTTTAATTTGAATCATCAAATTTTAAAAGTAATTATTTTAAGTATAAATTTTTAAATTCATAATATTATTTTTAAATATTTGGATGAAAAAATAATCATAAAATGTTTTTATGTTTTAGTGCATAGTTTAATGTGCTAATTTATCAATTTTAAAATATCATCACTTTTATTAGTAGATAATAGATAGAATTAATAAAGTTTATTTTGGGTTGAATATATTCTATTATTAATAACTTTTTTATTTATGAATACAAGAACTTAGAGTACTTTTTATTGCAATTTTATTAATTTTTTATTTATAATCTATAAAATATGAATAAAATTAAAATATCATTCACTCATTCATTAATCACTCATCATCATAATCTAAAGGCAACACCTTGTTGAAATAGCCATGTGTGTCTGTCCTTTGCCGCTTCCTTTAATTGTTGGTAGGATACACAACCTATTTTCTCTTTAATGTCATGAAAATAAATAGCTCTAGGTCTCCTTCTTGGTCTTTGTTCCATTATTCTTCCTTCAAATATGTTATTAAGAAAATCATTGTGTTGAACAAGATGCTAAATCCATTTTAATTTCCTCTCCATTATGGTTATCATACTTCTTTTTTCTTTTATTTCATTTAAAACTTTCGTTTGATTTTCGTTCCATCCAATTGGTCTTTAACATCTTCCTTCAGAGCCCAAAAAAAAAAATTTGGATAACATTAACACTAAGTCTTAAAAATGTATAGTTAAATTTTATACATATTTTGTATAGAATATCTTAAATGAGTATATATGCACCTAGATTTTAAATATTTTCATAATTTTTGTAAAATCATATCCCATGAAAAGTTGTTGACATTTGATAAAATGTATTTACATAAATTGTGATTTTTACATACTTTCATGTATGCTAGATGGAAAAAAATTTCATCTTAAAATCAAAATATTTTAACATTTTAAAAAATTTAGACCTTATGATATCATGTTTAGTATATAAAAAAGAATTTTTATTCTAAACTTGTTCCATGCTTATGTATAAAAAGTGTTTAAAAACATAATTTTTATGAGGTGTTTCTTTTCTTTCCAGTGTAAAAATTCTGATACAAATTTATAAGTATTAATGCGAAATATTTTGTTTTTTTAAATTAACTTATACTATGTATACAATTATAGTGTTCATTATATATAGATATTATATAAATAGGTATTAATAGGTTATTGATAATTCTACATAAATATTTTATAACTTAAAAATTATACCAACAATGTAGTATGAGAAAATAACAACAAAAACATCAATATTCACTTAAGTGTGAATAGTTGTGTTCTTGGTAATTATCCATTTAATATATTATTTACGTGTAAACATGATAATAGGTTAAATAAATGTTGACTACGTGTTTCAACTCAAGGTTTATATAATTTTTGTTTACTTCAGTATTGCTATCAACCAAAATATAGATATAGACTCGCTTTAAGCCTAATAATAACTACAATAATTATTTTAAAAACCCAATGTGTAACAATAATTATTTAAGTATTACACAATTCAGTACCAATTCTGACACACGTTGAATTTGTACTCATTGAAAATTTTTTATTTTCCAAAATACATAGTTTTCGATAGATACTTAAGTACACTTGTCTATTGACGAAATTAGTCATCACTCGTAATAAAATATGTTATATTATTGTTATTAGATTCCCCATTTTTTAATACTCTTTATTTTACACAGGAATCTTATTTCCATTGGACTTTTGGGGTTAGTGAACCTGATTGCTATGGTCTAATACATGTATCCAGCGGAAAAGCGCATTTATTTTTCCCAAGAATTGATGAAGCACATTTTGTATGGTTGGGAAAGCCCTTGAGCTTAAACGAATACAAATGTCTGTATAAAGTCGAAAATACATCGTACACGGACATGGTAATAATTAATAAGACATTGACTTCTTTTAAGTATACTTTCTATGCAGTGTTGTGATGTCATTAATATTTTCATAGGATTGTATTAATATTTATGTGTTTATTCTTACATTTTTTTATGAGTTGTACACTATGTTTAACTCACAATTGATACTTCAAAATCATTGACGTTTGAAACACGGGGGACGATCGAAGTACCAAAATAGCATTTGTGTTAACATTTGCGATTTTTCCTAGGACAGATGCCCAATTTTGTTACGTTTTTAACATGTTCAATGAGTGACAACGACTAAATATGATCAATGGTCTTAGAGAATTTGAGTAGGCTTTTAAATTGTATTTTTGTAAAGCGTGTTTTAATATTTCAATGCATAATGGTTATGGACACGTTTTATTTTGGTCCACGCATTCACTATACAGTTAGGTTAACTGACATCTGACGAAGATTTCAGCTTTACTAAACTTATTATGTTAACTTGCTAAAAATGAAGTATAAATATTCTATAAATATCTATATTACGGTTGTCGGGAGTTTTAATTTCATTCTTAGCGTGTTTGATTAAATTATTATTATTTTTATTATAAAGATTTAATCACAAGTAATTATGTAATTTATTTGAACCGCGTTAGATAAGTGAAGTTAGGCAATTGTCCTTGTCAGTAATTGTTTTAGATTATTAAAAAATATTTAGAATTCAAATTAATTATTTACATATTGATAAAAAAAATATTTTTATTTTTCTATGTAAATATTTAAATAATGATTTTATTTTTAAAATGTACTATTTTCTTATAGGTAATCAAAATTGGCATTTTCGTGCTATTTTTTCATTTATTATCAGTATTTAAATCATGTATACTTATGGAAATTTAAACTCATATTCACGAATACACATACTGACAATTATTTATATTTGTACTTATGAATGTTGAGTTTTATAAATTTTTTTTTATCTATTTGATTAGCTTGGCGAAATATTGGATTCATTAAAACCATCGCTTTTATTGACTCTGGTAAGTAAAATTATTTTAATTATTTTAATTTTACTTTTCTGTTAACTTTTAGTAAACAATATATTTTTTAATATATTTTATAACAATTCATTGGGGATCCGCGAAAAAATCAAATATCTCTATCCTTCAATCCTTTCAATCAATTAACCTACGAATAACAGAAGCACCATGGTACGTTAGTAACCAAACTCTCCACAAAGACCTAAAAATTCTAACACTTCCTGAACTTGCTTCTTGCTATTTTAAAAAATTCCACAGTGACACACAAAACCATCCTAATCCTCTAATATCTAATTTCCATAATCCCTCTAACCCTATTAACCCATTACGTCGACTTAAAAGAAACTGGGCTAGAGACCTTCTCTAACTCATTTTAGTACAAACTTTAGTCTCACAATTTTATTTATTATTCTTTTTTTTTTTTTGAAGTGGTGTCAATGGGCCCTTCTTCATGCACGATATTCATGCGTTGTAACATATTGTTCAGACATTTTTACTTATTGTATTATGTATACAGATTGTAATATTTTCTTAAAAAAAAAAAAAAAAAAAAAAAACCATTATAATTCAATAGTGCTAATAAATTGTATGTGCTCACACAATTCATAATGGCTAAGTATATTACTTCTATGTTTTCATAATGAATTACCTTTACTTTAAAATGAATTGTTTATGTTTGATTTGTATTAGGTACCTATTGACTGTTTCGATTTGATTAGGCATGTGCATTATGCAATATTGGACATGCATGTTTAGAAATATTACCGGCAGTGGCGTAACATGTTTAATTTTTAGGGTTAAATCAGCAATAACGTAAAAGACAATGGTGATCCGAGATATTGACTTCTGGAAAAATAAAATATTAACATAGGGTCAACTTACTAAAATAACTTTAAATAATGTTTAGAACAATAAATAACAGCACAATATTTGTTTCGCATTAATTAAATGATGGAATACCCTTATGGTGGTGAAATTATAAAATACTATTTTCGCCCCCAAGTTAAATACACTCCTAAAATTGGACCAGTTGATGGTTCCTACTCGTACTTCAAAAAATAAAATATAAAATATAAAAATAAATTTTAAAAATAAAGTTATTGTATCAGAATTTTAGTATATTTTTTATAATTTAGTAAAAATAATATGAATGATATACTAATGTTATTTAGAATTTAAGTATGTAGTTTTGAATTATGTTCATGACAATTTTAAAATTTACAAACGGGATTAATTATGAATTGCTCATTTTTGATGATGCAAAATTTTATTTTATTTTTTTCAATGTTTTTGAAATGCAACTACGTGTGTTCTATTTTATAATGTGCATTGTTATATCACCCGTACAGATTTAAGTTATGTATAGGTTTACTATTAATACATTTATATGCATACAATTTTTATTTTAATTGTCCGCATTACTGATTTTAGTACTGATTGTAGTTGTATTGACTTTACTATGACGTTATTATGTGCCTAAGTATTTGATAAACTAAAAAGAATATTAATTAATTGGTGATTATTAATATTTTAGTTAGTGATCGATAAACTTTATTTTCTTCATTATGATAAATTATACAACTAATTTTTAATGTGTTATATGAACACGTCTTGATTGTTTTATTTGGTGTTAAATATTTATATATTGTTTACTAGTTGTTTTTTCATAATGTAACTGTTTACTAATAAAAAATTAGTTGGTAGGTATGTCACAATTATTATTACATTTTTTTATTTGCTTAAACAATAAAAACAACATACCGACTAACAAAAGTGACGTTAACAATTTACAATATATTTGCTTTAAATTAGACGATTTTTGTTTTAAATTTGTTATCTTAACCATTTAAGATTATAAATATGTTCTTATGCAATATTTTCCTAAAAATATTTTAGTGTAAATGTAACTTAGCACAATGATAAATACATGATAAATACTCGTAATTAATTTGAATTATTACATATTTTTATTTAGAGAATGGTTTTATATGCGTAAATAATTCTTTAAAATATGCTTCTAAAAATCCTTTTATCCCATAATATAATTTAAAATATTTTCTTTAAATATATTATAATTACATATCAAAACTCTATAAAATTAAAATTTATAAATAGCAAATATATAGTTTTATGTAAATTTTTTTGTTTTATTAGAAGGAATTTGATATTCGACTAGAAATGTGCAATATATAACAATTTTATTTCATTGAATATTATTATTCGAATTATTCAGATTTATGGATTTGATTTTTATGTAACTTATAATTATTTTTAATTTCTAATAAAATTAATTATTTTATTGTAATAACAAATTAATATTATGTTTAAGAATTTAGTATACCTATAAGTATATTTATCATGACTTCAATAACAGTTTATATAATTTATTATGAGAAATTATTATAATTTAATATATTATGATAATTATTATAATTTATTATTTACCAGAATAAGTTATTATATTCTGTTTATTTTATCCTCTATGACTTAACACTGATATTATAACTGAGTACCCAATTAACTTATTTTTACCGCATAACCGTTATTAAAATTATGTGAATATAAAAATGAGTTATTGAACAGCAAAATTGAATTGAATAATCTTTATATTAGTTAAAATACAAAACTTGTGTTTGAATATAATTATGCATAACAGCATTTATGTTTCAGGAAACATTAATTACCTACTTCAAATATCTAAAATTTTCTTTTGATTAAAAGTATATAATTATGAATTATGATTTAAAACATTGATGAGATGAAAGTTAAAACACAATATTTTAATAATATTAAAAATTATTATTTTGTAATAATAATAAAAGTAATAATATCTTGGAAAAAATGGAGAATTAATTGCTAATTTTAATTAAATTAACTATACTACTTATTTATTTTTACAACTTACGACACTTCAATTTTTTTGCCTTTTAACTAAGTAATAAGGTTAAAACTAAGCTAAATTAGCGCTATTTTTATCGAGATAGCAATAATAGAAAGTTAATAACTGGATTTCATCAAAATTTTTAAGTTAGGTTAAGATTAGATGCCATTAAAAAGATGGACAGACAATTTTTTTAATTATAATAGTCTTAAAGTTCTATAGGAAAATAACTATTAAATAGTATGAACTCAATATTTTTAACTTGCCTAATCCATTTCTGAATGATCATTAATAAGTTAATATAATTAACTCAATTGAATAACTATTTAAAAATATAAATTATAAATATAAACTATTATAAAAACATTATTTCTTAATAGTTAATGGTTCTCAAATATAGTTACTTGTTTTTATATAATTTATAGCATGGAAAAAATACAGACAGTGAAAGAATGTGTAAAGAAGCACATTTTCCTGGAATAGATAGGTAAAAAAAAAGTATAATTAAAATAAAACATCATACTTGTATTAATTATTTTAATATTATGTTTATAAAGATTCACACTGGACAATACAATTTTACATAAGATCATTGCAGATTGGTAAGTGACAAAAAAAATTATTAAACATAATACTTAAATAGTATACATTTTTTTTCGTCTCAGGATTTTTTTAAACAATATTAAAAAGGAGTCAACATCTGTGCATATCTATCATTTATATATTCAGTTAACTCTGCAGGGTATTTGAGTTCTAGTAGTTTTTGGTAATTTACAGACATCACATTTAATCCAATTTTTCTAAAGTGCCTTATTCTTGTTGATTCAATACCAATTAAATTTTCATTTTCCCAGCAATAATGTTCAGGTAAATGAATCAAAATTGCAGTGCATAACCCAGAATTTCTTTTTAAGTTTGCATACCTACTATTAATTTCTAATTGAACTGGATGAACTAAACCATCAATTACATAAAGGCTCATAATTGGTAATTGGCTTAAAATGATGGAATAAGAAATTTTGTATCCATGAAAAACATTTTCAAGGCTACTTTTGATATCTTTTAAGACTCGTTTTATTCTATGGTCCCACCAAATGTAATTTGCTGATTTATTTCTTGGTAATATTGGTCCATGGTAATGATCACACTCTAATGTCATGCATTGGTCGATAATTTGTAACTTAGTTTTTGTGTATTCATTTTCACCTTTTTCATCATTTAAATTATGAATAAACGAAACATTAAACACTCTGTGAACAAAGTTTATTGGTTGTTTCTCTAAATAAACACAAGATAATAATATATCTAAGATTTCTTGTGTTTTAAAATTATGAAACTCTTTGTTCATAATACTTTCTACTTTTATCCAAAACTCTAAGGCTGATTTAGGTTTGTAGTTAAGCTGACCAAATGGAAAAAATAAATCTCTGAATTGTGTTGGAGTCAGACTTGAACCATGATTAATTATGTACTCTGCACAGCCATCAAAAATTTGTTCAGAGCGTACTTTAAATTTAGCACAATAGTTCATAATTTCAACAACTAATGAATAATTATTTATTGTTCTTTTCTTAGCTTTAATGTAACGCTCTAATGCTCTAATAATTCCAATATCTACATAATTAGAACTATTTAATTCATTTAAAATTGAAGTTATATTATTCTCACTCATTGTATGTATATTTGTATTTATCCATCTGGACGTTGTGTTTAAGATAATATAAGAATTGCACTTTGTTAATCGCATTGTGTATAGTATTTCAGTTAAATCATCAGTATCAAGATAATGCCAGAGAAATTTAAAGCGCCGTTCTAACATATTCATAATGGTTTTTCGACTTTTCTTCAATAAGTATAAAACTTTGAAAACTTTAATTACATTTTTCTCATTTATTTGATCAGATTTATCCATTATTCCTATCCAAAGTTGATCAGCTGTTTTGATTTCATTTAATTTAGAAAATGCATCAATTGATCGACATAAATTTTCAATATTGAGTTTGCTTTCAGTTACTCTGCACATGATTTCTTCGGATATTTTATTTTTAAATAGTTCTAAAGGTAACACTCGAACACGATCAATAGGTATTAGTTCTAATATTCCAACAATTGCAGAATGATCATCTCCTTTTATAATGATTTCAAGCAGTTTTTCCAATATTGGAGTCTTAGTATAATCTATATTTGGTCTAATATCCAAAATTGATGACAGTTTATTTGTTGCAATATGAAATTTAAAATTTTCTAACTCTACTATTTTCTTTAATGCACAGAGTGCTACTATTGGTGTAACCTCATCCAGCATTATTATTTCTAGTAAATCTAAAAGTGATTTTATAGAAGAACATTTCTTAAAACCTCTAATGACATCTACAATTTCTTCATCAGCTTTTTTGCGATCAGTTTCGTTTTTTAGATTGTTTAATTTGTTAACCATTTCATCATTATTAATATTTCTATTATTGGTATTATTGTCTTCATTGCAAATATCAGTACAACTTACATTACGTACAATCAGTGGTAGTTCCCTTATGTCAGTTCCTTCTTGAACAAGAACGAATGTATGTCCAAATTTATTGGCTTTGTACCTGTTCTGTGTGACATTCAAAACTTTAAATAAATTTAAATAGTTCATTCGATTAAAAAATAACTGCTGGCCTACTATTCTTGACATGTTTGTATATTTTTGTACTAAAAAATTAAATAAAAATTGAAATAATGAAACATAAGTTTGATTAGATTTAGTATATGTAGTTGGTCAAATTGAACTATTTATATATATATATATATATATTTATCATTAAGTTATTAACTTATATTCCGAAAACAATGTTTAATATTTATAAAAGAAACAAATTTAAGTATTTGATGTAAATAACTGTTAGTAAATTGAACAACTATATCGTGATTGATTTTATCATTTAATTTTTATGATAGTAGATATTGTTTGCCACCCTTATCAATGACATCAAATGATGCAATTTTATTGTGGTTACTGGTTAAACATATTTTGTACCGGTAGTGATAGTAGGGTCCTGTAAAGATTACCTAACCTCTATAGTGCCTTAATTATAGGATCCATGTTGAAATTTACGATGGTGTACAATTTCACCACTAGACGCCACTATAGTGATATAGTATTATAAAAAAAATAAAATATTGTGTTATGATAATATTTTTATTATAACGAAAACATTTATTGTACCTAAAACAGCGACTATTCATATTGTTTTATTATTATATCTTCATTGATAACAAACATCTTTGATCGAATTTTAAAAATGTCAATACTATGCCTCTCACTTGTGCGACATGTACGAGTGATGCAGGTAGACTGAAAGTGACTATATTTATGTATATATACGTACATCCAGAATCCACTATAATGTTAGTATTTATGTAAATATTTTTGAGTAAAATATGTGTACGATATTTCGATATTTGTTTCTCTATTAATAAAATAATTATTTATTAAAATTCTGTTGCAAAGCCAACCATTTCTTAATTAGACTTTATGCCAATATTTAACTTTTATTTAACTGAAAAACAATATAAAATTACTACTGAATATGAATAAATTTAATTTAATTTTTTCATATTCAGTCGCAATTTTATTAACTTAGTATATACCTGATGATGAATTTTTAATTCGAAACTGGTTATACTTTACAAATATAATAATACACCAGGCTATTTATTTCTATATATAAACTATTTGTTTATTTTTTTTCTATTTTTATTTTACCTTCAGAATACGAATACTTGTACATCCTCCCGAATTCTGTTTACCAATTTCTTATTAAGAAAAATTGGATACTTAGAAAAAATTTATTCTTTTGTGAAGTCTGTTGTTTCAATTCGTTTATTATGTTATAGATATAATTTATATTGTAAAACAAATGCAATTTTTTTTTTAATTCGTTCAGGGATTAAAATAATACGTAGTTGTGTTTTACATAAATGATTGATTGTATATTATCTAACTTAGTATTATGTTATTTTATATAATTTGTATTCTATTAAAATACAAATTAATATTCTATCATAATGAATACTAGATAATTATATTGAATACTATTTAATAGACAAAATAATTTAACCACGTGTCGTTAATTACTTAACCATAAATTAATTTTGTATATTTTAATTTCAATATATTCTTAAAAAAATCATCTAATGGATTTTTATTACCTAAACTATTATTTAATGTGATAAGTTATGTATTAAATATATAATAGTGGTTTAGATAAAAGTTTTAGTTTATATATTCCAATATTCTTGGGAATAAAATACAAGTTTAGCTACCTAATTTTAAATTGATTAACATATAGGTTTATTGTGAAGTAATAATTAATAATAATATTATTTTTTACCAGATACGATTAAAATTAGTTATAGTTCATTTATAAATAAAATAATCAAATACTTTAATTCATACAACGATATCTCAAAGATAATTAAAAATAAGTAATGCGCAGAGCACACGTCATAATAAATTATTTAAAAACAACATAATAAATATATTTTTAAGTATTAATCAGAATTGTTTTATTAGACAATTAACTCTCACAGATCAACATTATTTTTACCTGAAGGTCGTATGCAAATTCTCTCTAGCAAACTCACTCTACAGATTTACTTAAGGTCATTTGTTAAAAGATTCACAATGATGCTTTGTTAAACATAGAAAACCCATACTGCCACTATTTCACGTATAAAATTATTGTTACGTCTGCATTTATTCATTTTTAACTACTAATTTAGGATAGTTTTACATTAATTGTTTTTATATTATCGAAAATGGTAAGGCAGTGGTATATTTTGAAAAAAAAAGTTCCAACGGAAGTGTAACTTTCAAAACAAATTTTGGTATTGATAATGAAAAATGTATTTCAAATAGTTTTTATAGATAAAAATATCCTCCAGAGCATACTGATATATTCAACTAATTCAGTTGTTAAAATTATAATCCTTCTCCCCTTCTCATTAGGAAATGTCATTAATTATAATGTTGTAAAATGTTATTGTTTTTAATGTAGTCGTGTCATCAAAACGGATTACGAAAAAGAAGTTATGAGGTATGCGACAAAAGTTTCTTGTAATGCCCACAAGTCGGTCATGACGAAATGTAAACCGGGCATGTATGAGTACCAGTGCGAAGCTAACTTCTTGCACTATGCTTATTACGTAGGTGGATGCAGGCATGTGGGCTATAACAACATATGCTGTTCGGGTATGAAAGGTGCCGTTTTGCATTACGGCCATGCCACCGAACCCAACTCTAAGAAAATTCTTGATGGTGACATGTGGTACGTAGTTCGTATAATTATGAGAATTGATCAAATAATTATTAAATATGTATTATTTTATAGCTTTTGTGTTCATAGTTATAATTTATTTGATATGTGATAACTATTTATCTTATATCCTATTATACAGTGTAATAGTCCAAACGTGAGATAAAATATTTAGGTTTCGCCGACAAGGATTTAATAAACTACTATGGGAAATTCGAATAGGAAAGTTATAATTGGGATGCTAAAAAAATTATCGAATTCGAAAACTCATACATTTCATAATTTTGATTTTGTATTAAATTACTCGAGAATAAGTTTTATTGTCATCAATGTGGTTTTGCTTTTCCGCATTATCGTGTTGATCGCTGACAGCTTTTAGAAGAAATAAAAAAAAATATACACGTAAATATTATTAATATCAGCATCATTAAGTTGATTTTTGCTGAATGTTTAAGAAGAATGTTGAATCATGGTGATTGCGCGGTTCGTACAATAATACAACTGCCGTATAAAATGGTGTGTACATAGTAGTGGGCTACTGTGCATCATGGTTTCCAAAACATCTCAATTTCATGCAAAACAGGACGTTTGCATTGTAATTTGACCAATGATATGGTATAAATAAAAAATTAATAAAATATTTTCATAATTTATTACGATGTCTATGTCGTAACTTATCTTGGAACTAACTTTTTGTTTTTAACTGTCGTTTCGAAAAGTTCTGACGTACCGTTATGGAAAACCTGGCAATAATTATATAATATTTAATACAGTGAAAGCTGTCTTCAACGAAATCCGCAGAGACTAAAGAAATATTTTGTTTTAGATATGTTTCAGGCGTAACTCGTATTGTTACAGTATACATAAGATAATTTAGAACAAAACCAAATAAAATATTGGTATGAGATAGGTATACAGTAAACGCCGCTTATTAGGAACACGGATAATTGATTAAATTGCGTTATTGAAACAAAATGTCCAGGGACAGATACGCCGTATATTAAAACATTGTAAATCAATTGGATAATTGAAACAACACATTGGTTATTTGAAACAATTAGGGCCAAGTTCGTCGAAAAATCCCAGGTATTTGGCGATAACCAAAGTATTGTAATAACAATATACTTTAACATATGCCGTTACCATCGAAACCAGTCGAACTCTCTGAATAAGTGTACGAAGATTAGATCGATGTTGCATAGGTTCCAACATAAAAAAGAGGCCTATAATACGGTTATGAATTCAAAAAATAATTGAATATGCTAACTTTGATAACGACGAAGAAAAAAGTGAGGCATCTTTATGAAATAAAGAAATTGTAGAATCTCTAAGTGTCCTCAGGAGAGCAGTCTTGCACCGTGCGGATGAAAAAGGCTTTGGGCACCATTATTATTACGAAACCATGATCATCAAGTTACTCGACGCAAAATAACAGACAACGAACAGAACAACAATGCATATTTTACTTAGTATATACATTTTTATTTTCACAGTAGATACTTTTTTTTTCGAATTACAAATTTTTATTATTATAAATAAAACCAATGGCATACTAGAAACAATTGGTTTATTGACATATTTCAATTTGGTCCAAAAGTGTTCCTAATAAGCGGCTTCTGCTATATTTATTATTTAGTGAGTGATCGCCTAACCGTCTTGTACAAGTTTCACTTGTAACGTAATGCAGTAATACGGTATATGGTATACAGTTGCGTAAATATGATTTTTAAATGAAAGGTTAAATGAGGGATTAGAGATGAAAAATCCTGGACAATGAGCACAAAGAATTGCATTGACTGAAGTGACACGAATGAATACAACAGTTTTTAATTTTTGAATGAATAATTTAAATTCTATAAAATGTATTGTAATAGTAATAAAATTATTAACTTTTATTTTTATTCTCAACAATTTGTTTGTTATTTTCTTTTTTTTTTTTAAAGTTGTAGTATCAGTTGGAAATGAAAGTTAAAGAGAATTCGTAAACTATAATGTTAATTATAATTTAATAGTAATAATGCTAATATTTTAAAATATATATAAATTATTAATAGTAATAAATAATAATAATATCATACAATTAGTATTTATTTACAGTATTGTTCATATAGTTCTTATAATAAAATTACTCGTTGAAAAAATCAATGGTAGAATATGAACCCTCAATTTTGTTTGATTATTTGCATCAAAAATATACCTTTTAGTTTTAATGTACTACTATATAAATTGTGATATTAAATTTAATTCAATAATTTGTTGAATTTCGCTGTTTCACAATTTCAGCCTTTTCGACATGGGAGCGACGTACAGCGGGTATACAGCCGACGTGACCGTTTCATTTCCCGCTAATGGAAAATTCACCAAAGATCAACGAGCGATTTACAATGCTGTACTAGCTGCTAGCCATGCTGTAATGAATGCAATAAAACCAGGTATATCAACTTTATAATACGTACACTTGAGTGATTGAAATCAATACATGTGTATATAACAGCCTATTATTTCTGTAATTCAATATGTGTAATAATAATTCATTATCTGTGGTATGGGCCAAAAAGAGCTTCAATGGAATCTCACTTTGGTAAAAACAAGCTGTATAGATGTGTAGTAGGTATCATATTTAATTTGATGTGTTTTTTTTTCTGTTATAATTCTAATGGTATTTCCATTTTCCATCATCATATTACTACTTTTTAAAAATGTAATTGATTTGGGTTATTAAACTTTTATATTATGATGCTTGATTCTTAATTATCCAAAAGTGAAATCGGCTCAATTTGAGCAAAACTCTAGAAAATAGTTGATGACTTATATAGTATGCTTAGAGCGATAATCAGTTCCTATATAACCCCCTTAATTTATGCTCTTATTTTGAGTATTGCACGAATTCAAAATAATTAACACATGTAATATTTATGTATAGGTAATTTTAGTAATAGAATTATTTTGGTGATATATACGTAATGCACGTATTGAACATGTGATTATATTTTATAAACCGGTTCGTTTATTAATTATTTGTCTATATATGTAGGAATTTATTTTTAGTATTGTTTATTTTATAAGTCTCGTATTTACAGACGTGTATAATAAGTATTATAAGGATTAACTTTTTCGATAACACATTCAGGTCAACAACTTTAGGTAACCCTTAACACAACTACACAATTAATGTTCACATTTTTGTCAATGATTTAATCTTATGTAAATATATTCACTAAATTATATACATTGAGCTGTATAAAGTTCGTCAAACGTATGAATGACATTGTTTTTTAATAATAAGCAAAAAACTGAATTGGAGTATTGCATATTAAAACTAGAACAAAAATATCGTTGTACGAATACAATAATGTATGTTGTAATTTGTAAACATGTTTATGATATTTATCTTTTTGCTTATTATTGTCTTTTTGTTTACGTGTTTGAAATTATAAACAATACTTATATTTCAGCTGTTAGAGTTGTGCTTTTATATCTGCTTTATTTACTCCTAATTTAAATTTAGTTTTAAAACACAAAAATTAAGTACCTTTTGGGCTTATGTTAATGTTAATTTGGGCTAATGTTAATTTGTTAATATATTAAGAAAATCATATGAATTAATTATTTAAGTATCTAATAATACGTATGAATATATATTTTTGAGATATACGATGATAGTAATTTTTAATCAGCGTGACAGTGTAAAAGTGCCATAGAGGTGTGCTTATTACGAGGTTTGGAAGTTTTTTTCCGAAACCCTATTGAACGTTTTTGGGACTTCTAATTACATTTACTTTAAACTAATTAATAAATGTATCAATTGATAAACTAAGGCTGTTGAATTAATTTTTTTTTTTAATTTATACATTTGTAATTCATAATTAAATTATGATTAAAAAAGTATTAGAACTTAAAAATTGATAAACCATGAAAGAATTGCGTGTCACTTTTACCAAAAAGTTGAAAGCCTATCATATTACAAAGTATTCACTATTTCTATAATAAAATGTTTTTAAATGTTAAAATTAACTTTTACGATTAAATTAAGTTATTGAATGATTAATAATTAACTTTTGTACAATTACTCGTATTTGTTATTAAAGAATTTAATATTGAGTATTAAAATTTTTACGAACCTGTTCAGTAGGGCCCATTATCTTTTCAAAAAAATATACTACAATAACAATGGGTGAGTCCGTTTTCGACCAAAATCGTACCCTTCCCTTTTTGGCCGATTCACTTTTCGACCAAAACAAAAATTTATATAATAAATTAAAAATAATAAAATAATGATATACTATGTTTGATTATGATGGAAACTACTATAATATATTAATGACGATTCAGGGATTTACTCGCGTAGCGAGGTTTTAGGTTCACATATAGAACATAAACCCATTTGCAACAGTATTAATGTTTGTACAATAACTAGGTTAGGTTTAGATCATAATTGTCCTTGAGGCGAAGTCCCATACCCCCGAAAAGGGCCACACAGTGGCACTCAAGATTGTGAGTGGAGCCGGCAGGTGTAACGAGCAAAGTCCTAACATTTTTAAAATTTAAAGTTCCGATTTTTCGAAAAAAAAATTTGTAAACAATTTTCTTTACGATCAAAACTAGATACAAAGTATCGTTCTCTTTTATATTAATATTTTAATAATTATTGACAAAAATTGTACATCATTATTTTATTATTTTAAATTTATTATATAAATTTTTGTTTTGGTCAAAAAAGGAATTGGCTTATTTTAAATTTGGTTGAAAAATCAATCGGTCGAAAAGGGAAGGTTACGTTTTTGGTCGAAAAAGGTCATGCCCATAACAATAAGGAACGATTAAAGATTACTTAATAAGTTATTTATTCTATTCAATATATTGTAAAATTAGTATAAATATCTAAATTATTATATGCTCTTAGAGTAGTGTAATTATTATTTCTTTCCAAACATTAACAATTTATGATTTATAGTTCCTTGGAAGGTTATATTATTAAGAATTTTAGCAATTATTGCGAATTTAAAAAAATGTATTTACAAAAAACATGTTGCACAGCATGAAAATTTGAAAATATATTAGTTTATTTTTTTATTTTTTAGTTTACAATTATACTCTGATATTTGAATATCGATGAGATTTGAAGTTTGACGTGTAACTTTTTGTTTATTTAGCAGATATCCCAGTATATTTAAATATAATTGGTTTTAAGTATGAAAAAATATAGGCTTTTTGTAAACCGTCTTAATCTCGAAATATTTACTCAAATTTATATAATTTACGTAGTTTAAGTATAATCTTATATTATGACTAAATTTCAACGTGTTAACTAGTTGATTTCATTATTATTTTTACAGAGTAAATAATAAATTGGTAATATTTTTAAATTTATAAAATTAGTTTTGTAATAAGGAAATAACGTTATTTTCGTATCTAAAAATATTATGGAACCGTTTATAGGTGTATCTTGGGTAGACATGCATGTATTGGCGAATAAAGTAGTTTTGAAAAAATTATGTGAAATCAATTTACTACTTGGCGATGTTAATGAAATGTACGAAGCTGGTCTTGCAGCCGTATTTCAACCACATGGGTTAGGCCATCTTCTTGGTATCGATGTGCACGATGTTGGCGGTTACTTGGAAGGATTTCCAGATAGACCACAAAAACCTGGTGTCAAAGCTCTTAGAACAGCAAGGAACTTGGAAGTCGGTATGGCGCTTACTATAGAACCAGGATGTTATTTTATTGAACCGGTACTTATATCTTACGCGCCTTAACTTTTTTTCTTTATTTTTATATTTTACTGGCGTAGGCAACTTTAATATGTCGTATAAATTGCAGGTGTTGAAACAGGCTCTCAATGACCCAAAACTATCCATATTTATAAATGAAGAAGTTCTCAACAGGTTTTGGAATTTTGGTGGTGTGCGCATTGAAGACAACATTTTTGTTACAGAAAATGGAATTGAAAATTATACTCCGGTCCCGAGAACGTAAGCAGTTTATCAAAGGTTTTTGAAAATTTTTATTTATTTATACAATATTACATATTTTGTATTAGTGTCGAGGAAATCGAAGAGTGGATGAGCAAAAAAAACACCGTCGCTTAAGTTACATAACAAGCGATGAGATGCTTATTCAATATACTTCAATCAAATTTATTATAAAATGCTGACAACATTTGTTTATTTTAAACAGATTAAAATCTTAATGTTGTATTATTAATTGTAAATGTATATTTGTATAATACATTTTATTAACGTGACAAAATATGTAACTAAATTTAGGTTTTGGTATGAATTATAATAATTGATGGAATTACCGATGTCCATATGTGTTAAAATATTAACAATCGTATAATATATTTTATTTGAAACACCAAGTAAAATAAAAATAAAACACTCAATATCATAACACCGATAACGTCTAACAAAAAATATTGATAAAAATCTAAATGTATTGCCGGGGATGCAGTATTGGTATTATTTCCATGTCTTATTACGAATTCCGTCCAAAAAACAGCCGTTTCCAGTGCGCTCATGGGTCTGTCCCTGAATGAAGCCGATAACTCCATTGCCCTTAACCGGTATCTTAAATCACACGATCAAAAATGAAGTATTATAATGGTGATGCTAAACTCTCTTGGCTGTATCGCTAAGTCTTCGAATACTTTGTTAACTCTCCAGGATCAACATTATGTTTACTTAAATATGTAAACTTTTATATGGTAAAAGCCTTATCATATAATAAAATAAGCATTACACCAAAATGTAAAACTAAAATGAAAGTTACGATGAACAAAATAAAATGAGTAAAAAATATGAAGTAATAGACCCAAAAGAATAAACTTCTCAAGTTTTTTTTTTTTTAATTTATATGTTTGTACTACAAGAATTAAATTTAAATGATAATTTAATATTTATTATGATTTTTTATTTCAATAGTATCTCGACTATAATTATATAGTGTAAGAAATAGATTTATATTATTTATTATAATTTATATATTTGAATTTTTAAAAATTTGTATTTTCATATTATTATAAAAACAAATAGGATTCAATGTTATTAAAAAATTTTAATTTCATTAGTACATCGACTACTGTTCACTATATATTACAGACTTGGAAAAGTTTACATATTATACCCTTCAGGTAGTGTTGGAGTACTGGTATGGACCCGGAAGAGTTAACATATCATTAAAATCGGGAAAGCTCACAATTGCCTGATATATTTTTTTCTTAAATCGTTAGAAATCTTACATAATTAGAACTTATTAATGATTTACAGCAACTTATCTATTTCCTTTAAGCATGCTTGTGATTGAGGAAGAAAGTTAATTTACTCACATTTTGTCTTATATTTATTATTATTTATATTATTTTATAAGATAGTATTATACTCGGTACATATATTTAAGATATCTATCTATCATGGATATGGGAGTAGGTTGGTTAGAGGTTGTTTTTAAATAAACCAAAATAGACATTTGTCTTAAGACGCTTAAACTTAAGTTGAACTAATGGTATCAACGCTATGTTAAGACTTGTGAGTCGTGACCAACTGAATAACAAGAGGGAGAAAGTGGCTGAACACTTCCAAATATATTCCATGCTCCCTCACGTAAATTCTTTAGTAATGTGCAGTCTCCCAAACGTCCAAATATTTTCATTGCAGATTATTTTATTCGTTCTCAACTCAATTACAAATCAGTTTTTGATAACAATTTGCATTTATGTATAACCCTGCGCTAACCGAATAATACTTAAAAGGATAAATCACAGTATATGTGTAGTCACCGTCCTTCGAAATTGATCACTGGAATGACCAGTTGAATGGTATAGGTACCATATCTTTTCCTACAGTGCGTATAAGATCAGATATAAAAGTTTAATTTTTTTTTTTTTTTTTACAATTCGTTCACATTTGAACCGAAATGGAAAAATCGAATAATCCTTCGTGCATCAGTTAAGGACCTTATATATTTATAACTTAACAACCAAAGAACTTACCTTGTGTCTGTTATTATGGTCCGTAAACCGATGATCAGTTTTTGCGCTGTTATTCGCCGATAGTCCAGTCCGACGGCCACGCCTTTTTCAACACAGTTAGCGATGTTGGATTGTTGATCGCCGAACACCGGTATACCGATCATCGGCACTCCAAAGTGCACGGCTTCCATGACACCCATCAGACCGCCGTGGGTTATGAACGCTTTGACGTTCCTGTGATCTTTGAACACACGCACAAAAGTTGAATGAAAATCGTTTGAAAATCGAAAAAATTGTAAATCGTCTGCAGTGACCAATATGATCACTCCCGGTAAGACTCCAATGGTTTGTATGCCTATCGGTTCAAACGATTGTCGTGTAATAACTAGTGTTGGCCACAGTGGCGTACATACGGAGGGGGAGGGTTCCCGGGTTCAAACCCCCCCAGGGCCAAAAAAAAAAATTGTTTTATTATTGATGACGTGTAATATATTCGTAGTTTCATTATTACAATTTGAACTTAAAATATACAACTATACAAATATTATGATAATTAAATAATTATATTGATAGATCTTTGAAAAGTTTTGTTAACTATACTGTTTTTATATTTCAATAGCTATTAATTTACTGTAATGTAAAAGTAAACTGTAAATTGGTAAAAACGTTATATAAAATAATATCTATTTATAGCAGTTATTTATCTTATCTATCTGTGTAACGGAAAAAAAAGAAGATAACGATTATTTTTGTTAAACCCCCCTCCCCAGAGCAAGATTGAATGTACGCCACTGGTTGGCCAACGATTAACTGTCGATATCGTTTCCATTTTTCCGATACTGTACGTAGAAAAAATATTAATATCGATTTCGATTCGAAACAGGTAGGCACGCCGTAACATAAAAAATGTCCACTCTTGAAATCTAGGATACCTTATGCCAATAATAAACCCGTATATTTTTTCTTCGATTTTCATTGTAATCTGAAATAGGTTTTTAAACTGTAGTTAAAAAATGTGAGTTTTGTCCACTAACTTTTAATGTATTTAAAAGTCTTTTGGTTCACCAATATATTGTTGATGCAGTTGTGAACTTTTCTCCATCTAACGTTACTGTGACAATCCAGTAATTCAGTTACAGTTACAGTTCCCGTAATTCCAATAAGTCTTTCGTATTTTAAGCCATTTATCAATATTTATTTTTGTTTTACATATGAAATATTTGTTTGTTTTTTGACCGTTACACACTAGGAGTACAAAAATACGCGTAACGGCGTGCTAAAACGCTCTCTATATACATTGCACAAGTTATACGTCGTTTCCCTCCAAAAATAGGTAAAAATGTCATTGTTTTGTAGACAGTTGTAGTAAGTTTTAGATTAAACATTGTGCAATTCATTTGTTACTATTTAAATTAAATTTAAACGATTTGCTAATTAAAATACTAATTAGTATTTTTATTTACTAAGTAAATCAGAAACCGTCAGTATAATCTATATATTACATAAGAGGAAAAAAAAAGATCATCAACTCCAATCGGCGTTATTGGGACTGTGCTTTGAATTTAAAAAGGCCACGTGAAAAGCGAAACAAAAAATTTTTTTACACTTAAACAGTATGGTGAAGAGTTGTTTAAATATTTTAAAACGTCTATCTCATCATTTGACGAATTAGTAAGTAAATCAATAGTTTAAGAACTAAGTATAAGTATAACTATAAGTTTATATCAGTAAAATGTATAATCATATTTTTCTAATTTTTGATTTTTTTTTTAATGATTAAAAATTTGAATTAATTACCTGATATCAAATGCAAATCAAAAATTTAGAAACGTAGTAAAAGACCGCGGGGTATGTGAATAAACACAATGTGAATGCACAATCGTGTTTAACTTTATAATCAAACTGGGATAAAACGCTACGAAATCGAGCAAACGCGGTTTATCGCTTTTAGCAGCAGTTTATTTATGGTGTGTATAACACAATAAAGTTGTTTTTGTTTAATTTCAGACTTAAAATGCGGCTTTTTAGGACGGGCGCAAATTGAGACGTGGACGACGTAGCGCAGCGTAGAACGAGTCAGTGTACGACTCAACTGCGTGACCCGTGTGAGCGAATATTACAACGCAGTTTCTCGTAGTCATTCGATAAAAACATTTGACATCGACACGATTGAATAACGGATTAATAATAGATTTCAGTACGGAATCCGAGGAATCGGATGAACTCGTTTATTTAATCTTTAGTTAAACGAAGAAAGTCCCGAAATGATATTTCACGAAGAAAATAAAGAAGAGTCACGGTGAATTTGCTTTGACAACGGAATTCGATTAGTTTTTCTTCGATCGCGTCGTGCAGTGTATCTGTTGCATACTAATGTGGTCAAATATAATTACCTTATAATTAGCTTACATGAAATAATAAAGTAATAGCTTGATAAAAAAAATCAATTAAAAAAAAATCGAAAAAGTTCAAAAACTGCGTCACACGTTCGCTAGAAACTACTAAGCAAACACTGCACAGTTGCAGGCTGACGTAGGAACAGTGTTGCGCAGTCCTACTAAATTTACACTCGTCAGTTCAAACCGGTAGATCATACATGGGCGTATTTTAGGAGAGGGTCGAAGGAACTATCCTCCCCTGAATCCGTATTTAAGGAATTGATTATATGTGAGATACACATTTCAAATTTTTTTAATGTGGATCATTTTATAACGAAATTAAATTACGCGTGGCTGTGAACACTGAATTGGACTTTTTTTCGGGTCTATACTCAGTGAAAAACCAAATAAAAAGCGTAACTTTCAAAACACGGACAGGTGTTAGAAGAAAAGTACAAAAAAGTCGATTCAAGTGGATCCGGCAATTAGATTAAAAAAAAAAAATCACAAATATTAAGGATTTAACCGATTTAAATATTACCAAAAATGTACTTGTGAATTTTGAGCCTGAATTAAAGAAAAAATTTAAGTCGCTCTTCCTTCCCTCTAGAAGTAAGTCTGAATACGCCCCCGAGATCATATAACTCGGTGTTGCGGTGCGTTACTGTGGCAGCGTCTCGATTTGCGCCAGACCTCAAACACGCCGATTGACTTCACGACGGTTACTATTAAGTTTGCAACATCGTCCAACGATTAAAATGTTCCGGGTTTCGGATATCCCGATTTTTGCGATAATCGTTTAAAAATATTAATATCCGCGATATCGATATCGTTGGTCGACACTAATAATAGTTATACGGATGTAAAGCACTTTTTTTCTTTGATACACGTGTTTGCAGTGAAATACGGATAATTTTTTTTTTAACATTTTTCTCATGCTGTTCAACGTGTGTTTCGTGTTCAAATGTGTTCACGCGCATTACGCATACTTCATACATGCACTCGGTACAATATTTTCGCCGACGACAATGAAACAATGATAATAATTCAACTGTATTACGTGGTTATTACGGATGTCGGTTATCCGCCGACTATTTTACTACGAGTGCAGGTCGAACGTAAACAAAAAAAGGATTTCCTCCGTAACATTACTGTCATCATAATGACTCGTGGCGTTAAAACAAAGGGAAGTGTTGTACTTGGTTTTCGGCGAGGAGCAAATAATCAGATAAGATGTACGGAAGGCCAGTGTTCGACTTGAAGGGGGACGCAGGGGGACGGAGTACCCCGACTAATTTTCAGAAATGTTAACGTCCCCCTACTATTGTTACGTTATAATTATAAAGCTTAACAAGTTTTGGCGACGCTCTTTTTTTTTTTTTTAAGTAAATAGAGTCCCAATCCTTCAATTTTGCCAAGTCGAGCACTGCGTAGGCCCCTTTCCCCCAGCGCTATAGACGTAGTTTTCACTATGAATCGGTAAAAAAGCGTGGAAAACGATCGTGACGTGGCGTGAGAATTGTTCATGTTTTCCGAGCCGGTCTGATGCATTATCGCATAGATCTGAATCGGATCTTAAAGCATTTGCATTTTCAGACCGTTCATTTGACACCGAACTCAACGGAACTGCACACAAACACATACACAGGGACATATATAATACTTAATAATTCTGATGACTCGTAGTCTTAATCAAATGTTTCACTTAATCCTTTGCGCCCATCTTCAAATATTGGAAGAACAATACCTTTGCCACTGCACACCGCACACGAGTGGCACGTTCAAAGAAAATCCGCTTACTTAAGATCTGTTGTTGAGGCATCCATTTGGACACTTTGATGCGTTTTGAGTTCATCTCGCCCTCATACTTCCATAGCACACAGTACGGCAGCGCTTCGAAGGCTCGCACCAACGACGCGGTGAAGTGTTCCGGGAACGAGGCCGCTTTCAGCAACGAGCCGAATGACACGTACACGACGCCTTGGTCACACGAATCGCAGTAATCCGTCCATTCCTGTATCAGAGATAGTGGTTGAATTGTTCGAAAACGATATTCGTTCAAAACACATGTTTTATTCCGTTTGAAAAATATTACTAACCATTTTTCTTTTTGCCTTTAACAATTTATTAATATTAAGGATTCGTCGTGCGTTCTACGAGTAGTTAAACGGACAAATCTCAACGTTAATCGATTTAAAGTTAATGTGTACACAATATATTTACTCTACACCTATGTGTCACAGAGGAAAGCGATTAAAATTATATAAGGAACCATCTGTTGTGCTTGGCGGTGTTATATATCGCAGCATTGTTGTTTCATATTTAAATTTTTCCACTGAATATTCTAGATAGCACACGTTGTTGAGTGCGTTTTGGTGAAAAATTGAATTTCGCGCGTGCACGACCGGACACTACCGGAGCCGATGCGCATACTCACGTTGGCCGCGTTCTCCTCGGGACGGCCGATGTGTAGGCCGCCCACCTCGACGACGTTGTTGACCAACGGCCTGGGCTGGGTGAGACTGTGGTGGCCGTTGACCAGCACGAGAGCGGTGCGCCGGCGCACGATGTCCGGCACGGGCGGCATGTGGGCACCGAAGTGCCGCCTGACCAGTTCGGTAGACGGGCCGTCGGTGAACGCGTGGTAGCCAGCCGTGCCGAAGTGCGTGGCCAGCGCGTTGACCAGCCGCTGGCCGAACGTCATGGTGCGGCCGCCGTAGGCGAGCAAGTGGTTGACCAGGTACGCGGGGTTCTGCGGGTTGGCCACGTGCCCGTTGAGCTGCGGCGAGTGGTCGGCCGTGCGGACGGACACCAGCGGCGCGTCGTACACGTGCGCCAGCGCGGCGAAGCAGTCCGTGGAGAACGCCTCGACCAGCACCACGTCGAACGCGTCGGGCCCTCGGATCAGCGCCCGCACCCGCGCATGGTCGTACGTGGCCTCGCACACTCGGTGGTTCATCAGGCACAGGTCCCGGAGCCCGGTCACCGGGTTGGAGAACCCGTCGAACTCGGCCACGTCCATCTGGCTGATGGCCGGCGGCAACGCGTCCGACACGTCCACGTCCACGTAACGGCCGCCGTTGCTGCTGCTGTTGATCACCGCCGCCGTTGCTCCTCCTTCGTCGCGTCGTCTGGGGAACGGGCTGACGACCGTCACGTCGTGGCCGCGCTCGGACAGCGCGACCACCAGCGGCTCGACCATGGCGAAGTGGCTGTGGCCGTTGTACGGGAACACGGCTAGCACCCGGGCGCCGGTGGACGCGGCCACGCATGCTGCGAATACCGCCGCCGCTGCTATCAGACGGGCAGCCATCGTCGCCGGGCTCTCGCTGAAACAGTAAACAACGGCCGTCGGTCATCGCTCCGATGGTTTTCGTCGCGCGCTCCGCAGTACCCTAAGAAACGATCGTACTTGTTGCGCCGACGTCTTACGTCGCACTGCGGTGACCGTCGTAAAAAAATGTTTGCCCGCGTTTACGCAACAATCGTTTCGGTAGAACTGCGGTGGTAACCGGTTATACCATTGTCGGTGCACGATCGATCGGGTTGTCTTGTATGCGCGCGTGACTTTACGGCTGAACATCATCTATATAAATGTATATATATCAAGGATGTATTTGAATTGAAGCCATGAGGGGTGGGGGGAAACTAATTTTTCTTCAATACAAACTTAAAAATAATTTACAATTCATGTTTCTGTTATAATGATAACATATTATAATGATAGACTAGTAATTTATATTCTTAATTATTTATACACTATATTTTTTAAGTAAATCAATGTATTATATTCAACAAAAATACGAGACATGGGGGGGTGAATGTCCCATTCACCCCCCCCCCCCTAAAATACGCATTTGATATATATATAAGTGTGTACACGTTTACAGTGGTGGCATCAAAAAATTTTTTTTTGTTCGGTCACAAAAAATTAGGTTAAAAAATTAAAAATAATTATTACCATTGATATGGGATGATTGTTATATTTTAACATTTTAAACGACTGCAACTAAGACTAAACTACTTTAAGATAATTTCAATCATTACCAAGTATGCATTAGGCCGGGCCATAGTGGTGGGGCCAGGCATTTTCAGGTTGGTTAGGTATCTAGCAGTGGCGTATTTTCAATTTTTTCTGGGGGGGGTCCACAGTTTATACATAATTAATATAAACTATATATTATATTGTAATAGTTACATCCTTATGCAGTTTTTGGAGGAAGTTGAACTAAATAATGTAATAATCGTAAAGTCTTATGTAACATTATATATATATACCTATATATAGTATTTAACATTATATATTATAAAGTATTGTTATAAAATAAATTCTAGTTGTCTCGATTTTTTGGCCAACTCCTGTATCACTTCATTAATAGTAATTTCAACTTCCCTGTGAATGTTTAACATAGCCAATCCTGCAAATATGTAAGAATTTTAGTTTATTTTATTTTTTTTGGAGAGGTTCTGGGGGGTCCAGTACCCCTGGACCCCCCTCCGTAAATACGCCACTGTTACCTGGTTTGAAACCGAAATGATATTTATTTATTTTATTTTTGGTCACGGGTAATCTCCGAAGTCACTCATTCGACGGGTGTGCGGTTTGTTTTCTGAACGATAGAGAAAGATTTCACGCCTGATTTCATTCATGGTCAATTTTACATCACATATTCACGAGCAAACAATTCATACGTTTATGCATCCGATCGTGGAACACGAATAGCAATATACAACGAGATTTATTGTGGAAGCCGAAAAATAATAGAATACATACAAATACTATCAGTACCTGAATTGGATGTTTTTGCTAGCTCCAGGCGAAAATGAAAATCTGTTCGTTCATATATGTTAACAAAAAAATATATCAAGTAGCCAGGTCGAATATACAAATGTATCGATATCATTTAGTGTGATCGGAGCATTCAGCAAATGCCTATGCAAATAAGCAAGGCATTACACTTATGTATTCAGTTGAAACCTTAACAACTTTACTAAATCCCTTATAGCCGTAAGAAACTCAACATGTACATAATATTTAAATCAATGTGTTCTAATCAATTAAATTGTTTATTGTTGTTCTGATTTCAATTTAAATATTCGTATAGAAAAAATACTTATAATCCAATAATATAATAATTATTATAAAACAGGTACTTTCATTTTTGAAAAGTAAAGGTACGCGTTTTGTTGTACGAAGCCATAATTTTTATTGAACACCGGACGAATAAAAATCTAAATTACATGGAATAACGATGAATAATTAATAATATGAATACTATAACAAATGTACAGTTTCAAATATTATAAAAATTTTCCATTTTTTTTATCATTTGTCTAGCTTGTAATGTGGCATTTAATTAAAATGTGGATAGTAAGACTGCATAGAATTTTAATTATTCGACTATATATCTACCGCATAAAAGTTGAATTTGCTGCAATTTTAAAAAAAAATATTATAATAATGATAAAAAATATCATGAATTATTTATTTTCAATGTTTTAATAACGTTTTTGACAAATATTATTAATATAATAAAGTATAATTATTACTTATTTTATGTAATATGTAATTTTTTACTGTGCTCATTATTATGTGTGTTATTTTATTTATAGAAATAATAATCAATTTATTCTTTGTTATCAATAAAATTCTTGATAGTGTTCGTTATTATACTAATGTTTCATTATAGGTAGGTACCTACATAGTTTCATGATTTTCCATCAATGTGCGTCAATTGTATAGTTATCGGGTTACTGAACAATCTAGATTCACTATAATTCTAAAAATATATTTATAAGTAGAGCTAGGATTTATGTGCATTGGTATGTGTGTTTTTTTTTTTTTTTGCATATCTTGAATAAAATTAATATAATAGCAGACAAAATGCGAAAAATGCATGTTTTAAAGAACTTATATTATTTTTACGTGTATTTCATCGCTTTACGAATACATTCAAATTTAAATTGATTTTTCTTATCGTTGTAAACCAGTGCGGCTGAAGATAACCTGTTGTACGTAACAAATGATTTAACTGGATAAAAGCGTACGTGTAAAAATTAGTATGTATTTTGACATAGTCGTCGTCGTACATCGTGTTTGGAAGTGTGGTGTATGTGTAAGATCACCACATATTTTTTTAGTCGAAACGATATAACTTCATAATTTTAATTACCAAAATAATTAAAATACTTCGTTACAAGTAGCATTTTACGAGCCTTAGTTTAGTTTTACGTTGAATGTTTATAGCTGTTACAAGTCACCCAAAAATTGAGGTAACTTGTAACACGTATTTTTATATTTTTTTTTTAAGCCAGCTTTGGTCAAAAAAGTTAATGAATGATTAAATGATGAAAAGATTAATAATCTTATTCTATTCACGAGATGTATGCACGTATATATGTATTTTTTGTAGCCCCGTGAGATTTTTTTTAAGCTTAAAATACCAAAATCGTTTCAAGTCACCTCGGTTGACGGTACGAACAAATTTTTTTTTTTATTTAATAATTATTAACAAAATTAAATACTATTATGGTTTTAAGGAATAAAAAAATTAAATAATTAATTACACTTATTGATAAGTGACTTATTCACAACTCTTTTTAGATTTATACGAGTAATAAAAACGTCCACGTAAAGAAAACGGTTAACGAATACTGCAACACTGTAATAATTAATTATGAAAAATAGTTTTATGTTTGCACTGATACTGCGGTGTTTCTATATTATATTATGCTTAATATATAATATATAGTATGTATTTTATTAGTGTATCTATTCCGATCATAGACATATTAATAAACTAACTTATTAATATGTCTATGATCTCGAAACACCACACACAGCCTCTGTCATTCGCCGTCATCATTTGTCATCAAAGCCAGTGAGAACTTTTGAGGGCCCCAGGGCTGATCAGTTTCAGGACCTCTTTACTTACACTTGTTCGGCCAAGATATACATACTACTTGTATGCACTAGTACATATTTTAGTACAGTACAAATATTTAAATATGCATTTTATACTATGGCGAATAAGATTATAAAATAATGTACAAAACGTTGAGACGACAGGCCTTCTCAGAGGTACAGATCCTAGAGCTCTATTCTTCCCTGTTCCACTCTCTCTCCGGTCCTGACCGTCACTATTCACCATGCCGTAATACAGTGTATACACGTCGCGTGCGTGTATACTAGTTAAATATAATAAAAATAATAATTCATCGACATATGAAAATTGATTATCGTTATTTTTTACTACTTTCTGAAAACGAAGATACTCCGAGGGACAAAGGGACAAAGATACATAAAATAGAACCGTCCCGTTCTAAACGGGACGTATGGTCACATTATATATGCGTTGTCGTATGTTGCAAACAGTTTCGTTACATAAAATCTAAAATTTCAAAAATACAAATTGCTAGTTGGAAACTTCCACAATACGTCGAAGAATTTTCAAGTATAGCTTTTAAGACTGTTGAAAAAGCAATATTTTATTATATTTTCTTCCCCGACAACCTACCTCGCCGTCTTAACAGACGTTGGTTCCGTGATATTTCAGATTAAAAACGATCCACGTTAAATTTCTAGCCGGAACATGTAAAGAGTCATCACTGGATAGACTCATTGTCTCCTGGTCGATAATCCATTGCTTTGTTTGACCATTTGCTTGACGTGTTTTTTTTATTTTGTTATACAACAAATTGTGAATGATATTTATTTTTAATAATAATAATAAAAAAAAAATATATATCCCAGATAACAAAATTTATATGCGCAAAAATGACATCGTGTGACGTCCATCAGAATTATAGTAAATATAAAAACAAATGAAATTATAACAGAATATCATTCATTTTTTGAAAATGTAAAACACCGTGAAATTGTTTCGTGTAACTTGAATAGCGTTAATAATTATATTCTTTTAGACTTAAGAATTTTTTAAAAATGTTTTTATAATTTGAATGTCAATTTATCATATATTTTTGGCATCATATAATGTATTCATTTATTCATTTTTTTTTGCATGTTTTTGCATATTATTAATAAATAAAATGCATATTTCATTATTTTGTATTGCATATAAATCCCAGCCCTATTTATACGTTTTTATACCCATTAAAAATAGAACTGTACTTTATCCTACGCAGTAGAAACAGTATAATAAATAATACATAACATGATAATGCTCGTTTCTGAAAATAGTTTTTATGTTATTGATCCATAGAGTTTCCATTTCCACGCATTCACAAAGAAATGAGATTTGTCTTCGTCGAAAATAAAAAATGAAATACATACATTTAAATTTTTATTGTATTTTAATCTTACATTAATTTAATAATAACCAAGTTAACACTGCTAAAATTATGAATAACAATTATTTTAAATTAATTTAAAAGTAATTTAATATTATTAAAAGCCTTTTAATAATATTACGTTTTGTGTTACGAAACAGCGACTCTCGAATGGCACAACATTACGCAATGCATTACCAGTGTGCAATGAGATTTATGCGTACATTTATTTTTTTTGCAAACTGTAATTCTTTAATCATACTTTATTAAGGTTTAGTAAATAAAAAGTATCATATAACAATATTATAAGAAATCTTATTAGAAAAAAAACGATTTGAGAATTACTTTTCTATTCTAATGTAAAGGTGTAAACGTATCTTAACCCACAATTATATTGTATTGTACTAAAGAGTTTGCATTTTATACTAATATATCACCTCTATATTACTTTATCAACAGACCCGACAAATAAGTACCATGTATATGTCACCTAGATCGATTTTAAGATATTAGGAAACAGCACAAACATATTGTTTTGTATGTTCAAAAAACAAATTGTACCAAATCGAACTCAATATGTTCTGTTCGGAACAAGATTTTCGAATGGAGACCAACTTAGTTTAAATGTTGAAACTTCAATTTTCTGAGACTATGGTAATACATCCTATACTCGATTGTTAAATATTTTTAATAATTTATATTAACTGATAATAAACAATGCATTTATTGTTATTTCAAGAATGTTAACCACAATACCAGGGTATTTTACCAACTAGAGACAAAAAATTATAAGGACCTACCTTGAAAATAGGAAATTAAATTTGTTTCCTATAAATACAAGTAATATACCATGAAATGAAATACAAATTTAGATTGTGGGCTATCATATAATATTACAGTACCTAGTATCTCTATTATTTTTAATTACGTATTTTCATGCTTTTATGGTGAACAATTACAATTTTTTTTCTTTTTGTTAAAAATGATCATATTCTTATGTTTAATTATTATGTTTTTCTATTTTTCTAGTGCACATCTTTAAGTAAAATTATTGATCATATTAAGGTAATTACAATAAAATAATATAATTATGTTATTTGTAATTATAATTATTACAATTAAAAAAGCAATAACTATTGGTAAATGAAAACATCGAATACTGTTCCATTCGATGTGGTTTTAGTGCAGAGATTGATTTACTGAGATCGCCTCATTATTTTCCATATCTTTGAACTACCCAGGATTCAAGACCTTTTTCGATCGCCCTTATGTGATCGATTTAAATATTGACTTGCGGTCTACGGTATACGAACAGACGGAAAAGATTTACCGCGGATATCATCGTCGACGAGTAACCAGTTGATTTATCGCAATCATTGAATTATTTATCTGCTGTTGTAGTGGACAGTTGAAATGCAGTTAAGAGCGGTCAAAATACATTCCGATCGACGAGGAGATATATATCAACGTAACAATTTTAATATAATAACGATTATACCCGCGGGGAGTCGATCGATATCCTAACGAACGGATGACCGACCACGAACTCGTCAGGATGGATTGTGCAACCTCGAACGTGCCAGATTTCCGTTTGTACAGTCGCTATCGCGAATTCGAGTTGTACCGGACTTGCCCCGTCAGCCATCACGAATTCGTAACGGTTCGATTCAGAAAATAAAGCCATCACTGGCCAAGAGGGGATGAAGCACAAGAACGCACACTGCACATAAACAACGTTCCAAGTGATGGGTGGGGGCGAGGTGATTAGAACACATGTACACCACATTTATGCGATGTAAAAAATAAAGTTTATCACTGTTGATGTACATTTTTGTAAAATTCTGGATTCCATACATTACGAGCGACAACATTTTTTTTCAATTTCCCTGGGATGACAACATTACCGAATACTATCGTATGGTGATTTTTTGACCATCAATGAGTTTGGTTTAGATAGATAGATTTGTTTTTTAACGATTATCGATTTTCAACATTAAAAATATACAGTTGTATACGTGTCAATGAACGCTGCTGTTTGCATAGGGTATACGCGTAATCAGTCAACTGGTGTACGGTGAGGTATACTGGTTGTCGTTCAAAACGTCACTGACAAATAAAGCTGCGTAATTTTGACCAGGTACTTGTTCGGTATAATTGTACATATTATCTAATAACAATATCGGTTCGAATAAATTTTAGCCGTTCATTACATTAAATAATGAATCGATCAGTCGTGACAAAACGGTTGTAACTTGCACCGCCGCGGCCCACATACCAGTCAACCGATCCAAAAATGTGGCAGATTGTGGCACTCTTTATTGCACCCGTGAGTACGCCTATGACGTGGCAATGTTCGTCACCAAGGATATTAAAAACAATCGGACGCACGTTTTTGTGCTACGTTCCAACGCAACGTTGTTCTCGATAAAATTATTTAAAAGTATGACGTTTCGAAAGGTTTCGTTGTGGTTTTATATGCATGTTATATAGATTGAAAAAAGACGGTTTTGCACAACGATTAAAAAAAAAAAAAACCCGTCGACAGTGCAGCACCGGTTGCCGAAGTTATTTTCAACTAATTTCGTAACAAAAACAAAACATCGCTACGGTTGTACAGTATGTTGAATCCGCCATACTTATCATTTGTAAAGCAGTGTGATCGGGTAATATATAAAAAAACTAAAACGTCTCAAAGACTAAATAACTAACGTGCGGTAGATTTGTTCACGTGTCCGATGCATACTACCTGATATAACGGTCGTTATTTTGCTCAGGACTTGCCACAATAACCTTACGTAACGTCGAACATCAAAATGTTTAACGAATATGATACGAAAATAGGTTTACAGGGAACTCGCACGTCAAAACCTCTCCATTGATCGCACACCGTTGCGGAGATAACCTCAAAAGCTTATGCAGCAAATGCATTAACCTAGTTTTCGGTGCCCCCCTCCCCAAGGTTTTCGAAACGAATGAGGGGCGATCCACCGTGGATTGACATGGGAGCAAACGTGCTCACAATAAGGTGAACACACGTCCTGCCCGTGTGCATTGCACTAGTCCGTGAAGCAGTGTAGCGAAAACGTCTGCGGCCTCGTGGTACATTCGACGAGTGTTGAAAATGAAAATTGGTCAACGATCGTGTTGCGAAATGTGTGCACTATACGCGAACAGTGTTTATATGAAAACTTTAAGTTCGGACGGATAGGGGGAGGGGAGGTACCTACTTTTCGGGGTGTTTTACTACGGACAGCTCGGGGTTTTTTCTCACACCGACTTGAATTGTTTATTAGATTATTAATAACGCAATAATAATATTAATATTCAGCATACAATATGGGCGCGAGCAGTGCCGCAACTACACTAACTTGGGCCGGTGTGTAAGTAAAATGAATACCCCCCCCCCCGCATCCGGACTCTGCAGAGAAACCGTATCGTATTTGTAACCAAACTATTTTTAATTCCGATTAAACAGGCTGTAAAAAAAATGTTGATGTACGATAATGTGTACAAAACAAAATCAATCATTTATTTTTCAATCTCCATAAGTAATTATTATTACAAAATGATTTAATTCTCTTGCTTTCTACATATTTTTAAAATATTACCATTGAGCCCTATTATAAGCTAGGGTCATGGGCTCGTGTGTATGACACACGCAACATACCCGGTTATTGTGGCACTGGGTGCGAGCCCAATTTACATTTAATATCAATACAATATTTAATAGTAATAGAATTACAAGTGTGATAGCAGGTAAATCATTGAAAATATATGATTGGGTTAAGAAATTGAGAAGGAGGTGTTCTAATTTGATAATAATATTAATAACGTAATAAGGCTTCAAAAAAAAAAAAATAAAATAAAAATACGGTACGCATAATTTATAAACATCTTTAACCGAGTTAGACAGTATACACAGCAGTAGAACACTCATTTCGGGCAGCCGTCAACGTCGTTAACTACGCAACGAATAACACACGAAATGTCTGAAAATATTTATCATACGCGAACGTAAGAATTGTTATTCTATTTAGTTTTAGAATTTTTTTAAATGTCTGGTATCCGGGCGGTATGCGTGAACGAATAGTAATAAATGGGGCCGTTTTTATAATACTTGAAATCGTATCGTAACCGCATTATTAAACGGAACGCAAAGCATTTTCAAGACAATGCCTCCTACAGGTAGACAGGGAAAAGTTGCGCGTAAATGATATCGTTTGATCGTCATTTTTTCCCATGTAGTTCTCGATTCGACTGTAAGAAACGCGCGTACGGAACATCGCAATATCTGGGCCCACCTCGGTTGGGGGGGGGGGTATTAATTTCTCCCCCGCATCGTAACTTTCCTTCGCCAACCCGTAGGTCTGTTATCGTAAGCAAAGCGACGGGTACGATCGCCCTTTTTCGTCGGTGGCACGCCGTCCGACGACGCGTGGTGTGCCGGCCACCGGCTGCTGCGATGTCGCCGCGCGTACTCTAGCCCCACGACGCCGCGGGTCCCGTGGCCACGGCTGCGCCGGGTCATTCGGTCAAAGCGGCACGCCATCTGCTCGCCAAGGCTGGGCGGGCCGTCGTCCCCGTCACCCCCGGGGACCGAGAGCGAACGGTCTGTGGGGCGGGAGCGCGGCGGACGACGCGCCGCGCACGTACATTACCGTCGATCGATTTTCGCACGGGCCCGAGCGGTGGCGGCGGCGGCGGTGCGCACGGACGGGAGAGCGGCGCGCATCGGCGCGGAGTCAGAGGGAGCGCGTGCACCGTCGTAACCGAGCACTGGCCGTTTCGTCCGTCCGACCGCCGCCGGCGCGGCTGGCGCGCGCGCGCACTCTTGCGTTCACGCACGCCCACACGCGACGGAGCACGGCGAACGCGCAAGTCCGTCAAAGTGCGCAATGTGCTTAACCTAACGGCGGCGGCGGCGGCGGCGGCGAAACGCGCACACGCTGTACACGTCGCAGCGGTGGTGGTGGTTGCGGTGGTGGAGGCGGTGGCGGTGGCGGCGGTCGTCGTAGTCGTAGTCGACCGGGACACGGACACCTTTGGACGTGCGTTCCGCGATCGGTTCCCGTTTTCGCGCGTTCCGAAAATCATCCGCGTCGCGTCGCCCATAGTTGTCACCACCGGCACGTGCGCACACCGATTTTCGAGACCCTCGCACCGGGTCCGCAGAGTCCACGGGGCTACCGTGCGTAAGGGCCCGTCCCGCGGAAAACGCGTGTGTGCGGCATGCGCGTACGGCAGTGCGTGGGCAGCACGGCCGGCGCGTAACAAGTACTGTGCGCGCGCTATGGGCACCACCGACTGCCGCAGGTAGTAATAACGGCTGTTGATCATCGCGACGGGACGATAGCTGTGCACCAACACCGCAGCCGCCGCGTAAGTACCGTGTGTGTCCCGTGCGCGGGTGCCGGACGGCGGTCCCGGCGATCGCCGACGCGTTACCGGGTCCGCCGCGATGACGGGGGCGGGGGAAGAGGGGTAAGCGAGCGTGTCCCGGTCGACCCTAGCCGATCCAGGTGCCCGTAAGTGAGAGAGCCCGGACGGCGGGTGTCCGCCAACACCGCGGCGGCACGTTCGCTTGATCGTCGCGTCACCGTTGTTGATGCGCTGTTCAGTTCCTACGATCCACGTTTTCCGAAGAGTTTACGTAACTTACGTAACTACTCCACCGCGGGACGGATCCTGCACGACGGTGTAAATACACGATTCACGCGGTCCGGCCACTAGCGTATCACTCGTCCACCCCTTTCCGTTTCGTCCGTCCGGTGCGACGACCAATAGTTATCGTACCCCGGGCGATCGGCCAAACAACTCTACTGCACGTCACGTTGCGGGCAGTTCATTTTTCTGCACGTTTACATCTTTGTCGGATCGATAGATAGACGAACCTATGCTGGTTGGGGGGATGGCTCCTTGCCCCATACGATTTCGGCAACATAACCGACGAAAAAGGTACGCGATTGATCGTTCAACGTTCAATAACCGTTGTTGCGACCAACCGTCGTTTAACGTAGCATTTTTACTCTACAAGAGAATCGTACACTTCAATCGTACTCACATGTTTCCGGTGGCTAAAAAATATCGGTCGCCGTCCGACACCGTTCCGTCGTTTCCGACGGATCACATCGCGCGTGACGTATATACGTCGCACCGCTCGTACTTAGCAACACTATAAATCAATAAGTTTATCGAACACATTCATTCATTATTATGACGTCGACGTTTGAAAATCGATCGCGATTGGTTTTTTTCCGGCAAAGATCAGATGCTGCCCCTCGATTAAAAACGATACACTGTAGCGTTTGATTACGAATCATAAATAAAATACTTTTACTCGTTGATACGAGTAGCACGGGTACATGGTACATTCTCGCCTCCGCGTCGACGGCAGCTTATCGACAGTATTTTATATTGATGCGATTTTTATCGATTTCCGTCGCAAACCATGAATATTTTTTATTTTTTTGTCCGTTATCTTAGGATTGATGACCCGTATTATTGTATCGCGCCGTGGTGTTAACGTCAGCGTTATAATATTGCTGCCGAGGCGTACGTTTATCGGGCAACTTTGCACCGGGTTTCGTGTGATATTGAATTGTTCCGACGGATCTTTTGTTACAGAGCTTCATATCGTAGTAACGCATTTGCGATCCGTTTGCCTCCACGCATTGAATTCATTTCTTTTTGGCTAACAACAGTTTCGCTCGACGCAATCGCGCCGTTGCAAGTTTTACCTCGATAACAACCACGCGCATTTCCGTACGGTTTGCCCCGAGTTACGTACAGACTAGTTTGTAAGCCGATACAGCCAATACGTAAACGCGTCATGGTGATTACAATTTTTTTCTTTCTTTTTTTTACAAATGGAAATATGTTCACAGACGCGACATACAATCATAAGTGATAATTACCGATCGAAACGAATGTACTGTTAAAAATATTGCAATTTCAATAGGTACACCTATACATAATTATTACATAGAATCGTAGTACTCATTACCAGGCCCGTACTAGCCCACCGGGCAACCGGGCAGATGCACGACGCGTCCATGAAAATTACTATGCATGATGCGCCCATAAAAAATTATGGCTACAATAAAATTTTGGAGAGATATCCATTGTTTCTCATTACTTAACAAGTAATAACCCGATGGTGTTCAGTAATACGTAATTGAAAAACGTTTATATTTTTGTGAAGACAAGCGTTAAACCTAAATTATGATTCTTTAATCTGTAATTTATTGGACTATAGGTAACCTAAAGGATTAAAAAACAAAAGTTAAGGCGCCCTTAAATATTTTCGTAACCGCCCCATATGAGCAGTCATATCATTATCCGTGGGCGATTTTTAGCGCAAATTATTTTTTTCCTCGACGTTGACAACTCAACAAGAGGTGTGCGCCAAGGAGGAAGCTACAGCAGGAAAATTTTCCAGAATCATTCGTACGGGTGGGGGCTGAGTATTGATAGCCGTTTTGTTAACTTCTGGATTTTAAAAATAAAATACTATACGCATTTGATGTACGAAGTTTTTTGTAGATGTTTAGATTTATTCTCTACACCAAACGGTTAAAAATACGCCGCATAGACTTGGTGCAAAAATAAAACGCGAAGTTTACCACTATATTGCAACGTCGTGGTGATGTATATTTTCGTTCAATTATGGACTCCGTACATTACAAGCGACAGCATTTCTAAATACGTTCGTACGGTAATTGTTTGATGATCGATAAGCTTGCGTTAGATATAGGTAATTTTGTTTTTTGATGCTTATCAATTTTAATGTTGGAAGTGTACAGTTGTATACACGGCTCAATGATCGCTGCTATTTGCACAGGCACATGCTCTTAATTAGTCAACTGGTGTATGGCGAGGTACACTCGTTGTCGCCCGAAACGTCACTGGTAAATAATGCCCTTGTTTGCAAACGGAAAAAAAAGAAATTCGTCATAGCCGAACACCAGACATGCGGGTATTACGAGGTCGTGAGCAAAAAAAAAAAATAAATTATTCTTGGGACAAAATTATTGCAAAACAATACGACAAAAACGCCGTTGATCAAAACGTGAAATCCATCACAACGATTTCGTCATGCATTATTGTATTATAATTTTACAGTTTACTTGGTCCCTGCATACGTCATAATTTGTACAATGCGTACAGGTGATTTCAATGCGGTGGACCTCGCGGTCAATGCTGCAGTCGTATTGTTTTATGTACATATTAGACCGTTTACACACTCCAATAACATACGGTATAAAGTCAAATGCACCGCACACGTTCGGCCTGAAACTTGAAATGTGTTGAAATTGTCCGCTCTAATCTCCTATGGTAATTCACGGGGACATCTTCCCTATCTTTTACGGTTTACACTGAATCTCACATAAAATATTTTGATTTCGAAACAAAATAACTAACTACAACCCTAAAGAAAATCGGGGTATCGTCATAAAAATGTAACATGACGAACCGATTGCAGGGAGCTCTACAGTGCTGATGGTCTGAATCCAATCGCTTATTTTATTTAAACAATCACTCATCTCATATCTGAATATTATTTTGACATAATTATTAGACGTTTTTATATTACCAGTAAGTAGACTGGAATGCACAGATCTCCATAGCGTTGACGTTATCCTCTTAGGGTAATATTTCTTGATCAAATAATCTGGAGATGTTAAGTAGCAGTAGTAGTTCCCCCAGAACATTTTTATGTGCGATAACCATGCATACATGGTTATTTGATAAAATCACTTCCATAACTGTATACGCGAACTTAATGTCAAATTGGATCTGTTTGCGTTGTATTTTTCTTTCAGGGATATTAACAGTGCAAAGCATATAATATCGAAAACTATCTATATACATATTTATGTGTATATGTTGCATACATACACACACACACACATACACATGCATATATTATGTAATATTTATACGTATACACATAATACGTATTTGTTTATTTATTTATATTGAAATGTATACATATATAAAAATATGTGGAGGACCGAATGGGGTCTCCAGAGACGAATTTCGGTGTATCCCTCACATAACTCACTGTAGGCCATTTTCATCGCACACCTCTCGACTCCACTGAGTATAACATTATGTATGCGTATACGGTGCAGTCGAGGCAGAAATAAAACGAACATTTTGTTTCAAGCCATCTTATGCAAAACTCACGAATCGAACTTTGCGGGACACGAGTATGCGCGTACGTATATGTTATGGTATATAATTACCAGGTTAATTGTTCACTACATCTCGAGCGTAAAGCGTAGCGGTTCACTCTGTACGTAACTATAAGGGAAGCTCTTAAGGTATAAAGGGAGGGGGAGCGGTGCATTTGGGGCCTCGCACTTGCAAGTCATACTTTTTTTTTTTTTTAACTACAATATGCCTTTCAACGATATTTCACCCCACGCTTCGTTAGGTCCTAGCAGCTACCCCGTCGACTGAGTAAATATAAGTGTACACGCGAGTTTTTTGTTATACAATTATTTTCCTGAATATTTTCATTAAATTCTTAAATTTCCATAAGCACTGCGACGAGAAATATTCCTATCGAACGACCATTTGCGTCGCGGCCAATCGATGGGGACTGTTCCGTAGCGAAAAATCGACACGGTTCCACGCAGCAGCGATATACAATCAGGGCCGTAGCAAGGGGGGGGGGCGAGATGTGTTTACGCCCCGGGCGCAATTCCTGAGAGAGCGCAAAAAACGAAAATCTTGCATTTAATGTTGAAAATTACAACGGTCAATGTCTTATATTTTGTTTACAAAATCTTTAACGTCCTTCATATTAATTAAAGCAATCGTTGAAAATAATACCTAAAAAGCGGCGTAATATTTTTAAATTAAAAATATATAAGAACGCATTTTGAAGTTTCAACTTGGGTGCAACGTTTGGTTGCTACGGGGCACTGTGTACAATATGCAATAACATGTTGAAAAGCTGCGTTTATGGGAAACAAATAAAAAAAAAAAGACACGATGCGCCGTGTGTAATTCGAATACGTGTAAACCGAGGCGCGCGCGCGCAGAAAATCAAACCGCGCACGAGCGTACGTGTACAATTTACAAGCTTTTACAAACTCCCTGAAGGTGGGATAATCGAAACGGAATGTAAAAGAACGTACGACGGATCAGATTCGATTTCTGATGAGAAATAAAATGTAAAAAAAATGTTCGGTACAAACTTGAGTCGAAAATGCTCATTTTTGACTTAATTCATAAAGAACTTTTGAAAAAAATTTATATATATATATTTTTTTTTTTTTTTTTGATACAATAAGAGTATTGATAATGATATTATGGGAGTAAATTTTTTAAACTTTAAATCGCTTCTCCCGAAAACTAGACATGTTTTACTTATGTGATTTGTACCAAGCGCCGGAGAATTATACACTCTGGGCAACGACGTACGCGCAAAGCGAACAAGTGCCTGTCTAATCTTTTCGCGGGAAACGGTATCGTTCGACCGTGCGATGTTGTAGTGCGCGTTGTACTTATTTTCGCGTTATCATGGCGCGGGTGTGTCGCACCGGTACACGGTGGCGGATCTCCAAATGAAAAAATTTGGGAGTGCTTAGCTCCCACATTACCAAAGTAAATAAATAAAAGTTCAATAATACTTCCTTAAATACATATTGTGTTATAATTTTTTGTTATTTACCATTTTCTTAATTTCGTTCATAATACATTTATTTTACAAACGGATTTTTCTATTTTTTTTTTAAAACATATCTATTGATTAATTCATATGTAATTCTGAAGGAATTAATTGGTGTTAAAATCAGTTTGGGGGTGCTTAGCACCCCCCCAAGTATCACCCTGGTCGGGCAGAGGAACTCGGGGAATGTGAAACGGGATCGGTAGCGATTACAATATTATCACGCAAAATATTTTTGGAACCCTCCCTGTGCACCGCGATACTCGATTCGTTGTGCGACACGAACACCGGCGTAAAACGAAATGTTGAACGGTGTGTAGGTACGTTTCGTTGATAATCGGTCCGCGACACAATCCCGGATAAATTATTTATAACGCGCCGAACGGTGACGGTGACTCGGACCAATAACTGCGGTTTAATGCGTACGAAATCGTTTGAATTACCGTTTTAGTAGTTGGTTCGACGTCGCAGGCGGTTTCTGTTGGAGCGAACGAAAAAAAAAAATGAAAAATTAATAAAAAAATGTTAAAAAAAATAA